CTGTGCGGTTGGTCTCCACATGACATATTTAGTGGAAGACTCATAGAAAGCGGTGAGTGTGCAAAGACTCTTTGTTCAATGTGAATGAAATTTTGGTTCAGCATTTTTCCTCTTTGGTTATAGAGGTATCTGCCCGTGTAGATTGTAGTCAACTTGACCTTTCCAGGCTCTGAGGAAGGCGAAGACGTCGAAACGTTAGCCGAAAATAAATATAATTGTCAACGTCGTGTAAGCTCATCAAAGAAAGAATACATATTGAGAAGAATACATACAGATCTACCGGTGTATCGGCCCAGTGCTGTTATCCTCCCAGACAAGCCTGGTATCAATTTGCCGATCACGGAGGGATGGAAGGCTTGGTGGTCCATGGGCACGGGAATCGATTCCACGTGTGTGTTGCGGGACGCCTCCGACCACTGCGCCACGAGCGTTCTTGTTTTTAGCATTGGGTATATTCATTATTCGAAGTGGTAAACGCAAATGAAATCTAGTGATGAAATGCCGTTGTTTATTTCTGGCCGAGTTAATGGAGTTTCAGCGGATATCAGCGATTCAGATCTTCATTATTTGGCTCAGATTAAAACATGCGAAATGGGACACCTTCTTTTGGATGCGCTAGGCGCTGGGGCTTTTCGAAGCGAATCACTTCTTATGAGACTTAAAGGATGACATTTTTCTATAGCAGTCGATGAAATGCAAGCCGTTGCAATATGAAGACGCCTCTTATTCTCAGGATCTTGTTATTTCCTCTCGAGAGTCCGAACGAGAACTCAGTTAACGCGCTGAAATTCGCTGATTAGGAATACGGAGATTATATGAAGCCATTGAGAGGAATTATGAATTTTCACATAAATTCAGCCACAGCCGCCATTTTCATCACCAGCTAAATTTCTAGACTACACTGCTCATCTCTAAACGTCAAGGATTTCAATGAAAAAAAGCATTATGATGTTAGTCACAGTATCTTAGAGCGCCATGTTACTCAAAAGCCAAAAGTGTCAAAAGTGTTTGTGAGAACAATGAAATATGAATGTATAAATGAAAGTCGCCGTTAGAACTTGTTAACCTGAAAGTGAAACTAAATTAGACCCGACGAAGCGAAGTTCAAGCGAAACGACGAAGTCATGGCGACAAAAAAGCTGATATAATGCTTCAAACTAAAGCTACTTATCGACTCGGATCATCGGCTCTGATGAGGACAAAACCGTCGAAACGCTAGCAAAATGAAGATGATATATCAAACTCGTGCAAGCTTATCAAAGAAAGAATACATATCGATTAGTCATACCGAGGCTGAAGGAAAGTCAGTTTTGATATATCGTTATACTCTTTGCTACCTAAAACTACTTACTCGCTAGAATCTTGTATGTACAGGATGAAATGCCAATTTGACATCCAGTTTGAAAATTTGAAGTGAATCGCAAAATTAAATCAAATTGGAGATTTTCTTCCCCGTCAGGAGTACTTTTTTGGAATTGCAGATGCATCGCTTAAATTGAATGCCACATTGCAATTATTTCGACGGGATATCATATATTCTCAACCTTCTAGACTAGTTTCTTTTGCAAGAATAAAAAAAGGGTAAAGCTCCCGGAGTTGGTCAAGGGATGCACTATGCATTCAACTTCATTAAGCATCATCTGGAAGTGGTTGAATGCATGTCTAGCCTTTACAATGAATGGCCTACCGATGTATTAAGACAGTGGTGCTGTCCGTCGACCCCGGAGGGATGGAATGGTTGGTGGGCAGGGGGCGCGGGAATCGATCCTATGTGTATTGCTTGGCGCCTTCGACCACTGCTCCACATGGGCCCTTTTTTGTTTTTCTTTCTTCTTACAAGAAATGAACAAAAACTAGCAGCGACTTATCAGCGGATGCAGTTGGTTTCTGTTGTTTCTAAATCTCTTACAAACAACACATTTGTAGGGCAAAAGTTTAACAGTGACAACAAAGCATACCGCCTATGAAGCCATCCGAGGAAGAAGATCACCAACTATTGCACGTGCTTCAAAAACTATTCGTCCTTCTTCAAACATTGAAAGAAATACGTAGGAAATGAAACATCCACGCACAATGCAGAAGCTTTCAAACACCTATCTAGCATTGAATAGGCTGCAATTATTGTTTAAAAAACTCGAAATACACATAATTACAGAAAGCAATAGAATATCCGTGAGTTGGACGAAAGGAAGTGGAAGTAAACTCTCTATAGGAGTGTTCTAGGCAGTGTTCGACAGTTGACAAGCGTCTTCGGAAGTAAACCTGTGCTATGTGAGCAAAAGATTATGGAAAGAATATAGAAAAGAATGATTTCTAAGCAAGACAGTAAGTCGGAGGTAAGTTGGAACCGGTTGCTCTGATCATTTGCTTGAAGAGAAGAGTGGTGTTAACTCGGAGTGCTTAGCGGAAATGCTCCGTGGCTTGACGGAAGAACGTTATAGCTTGCACTCTGAACATGTGCAAAACTCTAATTAAAAACTTTCAAAAATCATTTTTTTCCAACTCACGGAAAAACGGGTGCATGGCTGAAGCGAACTACGATTTCAATGGCATGGCGCTAAATTTAAACCTATATGTGTGTCTTACCGGTCTTACTTTCCATAGTTCCATAGGAAGTGAGAAAAATCGAAGTTGGTTTACGAAACGCCTAGCACGAAAAGCTCTGCAGTGTTTTACTTTCAGTTAACTTTACTCTAGTTAACGTTGTTATATGCACTGATCTCTCCACTTCAAGAAATTCACCGTTAAAGTCCAAGAACCGAAAAGAGCTGTGATTTCCCTGAAGGCTTCAGAATTGTTGCAGCGCTGGCTCAAACTCGCTCGTTACGTGGGGTGTCGTTAACGAGCATTTTATGCGTCGCTGTGTCTCACTTAAGTGTAGATTGAACGAGCTGTGGACCAGCTGCACCTATCATATTTGTTTTCGTATAGTAAAACCAGTATGAATCCAAGCGCTCTGTCGATAGCTGTAAGCGATGAGTCGAATATGAGAAAAAAGATTTGCCCAAACTTGAGTTCAGGTACAATTGAAGCTAGTTCACATTAAGCTGACGTGGTTTTTTAAAAGTATTTACCGGAACAATTCAACGAGGAAAACTCAATTACAGAGTTGTGAGTTGGCGACGAAGCTATGCATTGTGAAAAAAACGTGAGAAATAAACCAAGACAGCTGGGAGAGTAAATTGAAACGTATTGCCTCGTTTTTCCATGTGAATCGCTCGACGGATAAGTCAGTGCCCGAAAGGTTAGATTGGATTGGTGATCTGCTGCGGTTCGAACCAATGTGTATATTGCAGAGTCTCCAACCACTGCGCTGCATGTCCCCTATAAATAGTGACACAATAATTTATACAAATTATTACTAGTCGACTTGTGGTTATATTGATTACTTAGGTAGACGAGTGGTCTTTTCTTATGTATTAATTCCCATTTTGAAGATGTTCATTATTGACAAAGTATTTAAATGCTTCCCGTTTATACCTTTTTTTTTTTACAAGCAAGAGCTATTTTGGATTCCTACCGTTTTTCCCTTCGAAATATCCGTTTTTATGATTTTTAACTTAATAGAAGCACATTCCACATCTGAATTTTTGCTGAGGTACACAAAAATAATTTCATATCAATTCTTAATGTTGTTTGACGAAACCACAGCCTGAGAATCTTTTGCACTGAAGAGGCCGCGGTTCCCGCTCAGAGTCGATGCTGTGATGATTCAGTGGAAAATGTCAACAAATGCCAGCAATAGATGGAGATTTCACCCATGTATCGGTTTTTATTGCTGGAATATTACAACCACAGAGACCTTGACCAAACAAACGCCATGACACAAAAATAGAAATTTTCAACAAGAACGGAAGGTGCAGAGATGAAGCTGGTGAAGAGAAGGATGATAGAGAAGGGATTTCCGGTGTTTGCGAACGAAACTGGGACGCAATAGCTAGCAAAATTCCGCTGCCATCTCAAGAAAAAGTTTCCGAAGTATCTAGCTGTCATATCTCTGGTATAAAAAGCACATTGTGTCCTGCTAGTACTGGAAGTCATCTGGTGTCGTTCTTGGAAATCGTTCAAATCGATCATAATGTTGAGTAAAAAACATGCAAGACGAAAAATAGGTCCAAGCTAATAGGCGATTTTTGACTCGATGATTTCAGCTACCTGAGTATGTTTGAGAAATTGAGCAAAGGGAAGGATAAGGAGAAGGTTATACACCGTAATACGAAATTATTCTAGAACTGACTAGAACTAGAAATGTGGGATCACGAGATTCCGGTAAGAGTTCGTGGACATACAATCACGCTAAGTGGATTTTTTAGGATCCCAGCAATGATACGTGTGAAAAACAAAGTTTTTGAGCTCATTGTAGACATACCCGGCAAAGCACCACTCTTTGGCAGATATAACCCTCAACGAAAATTGCATCTTGAATTGATCGTGGTTGAAAATTTTGAACTCAACTGCAGTGAGATTGTTATGAGTGATGCGCAGTTGGCTGTGTGGCAACTGTCTCGCTAATGACAGCGGCTTCCAGTACTTCCATCAAATTTCTCCGCAGCCTCACTCGAATGTTACATAGGTGTCACAGTGCCAGTCGTCTTCTCATTTAGACATTTCCAGTCGCATGCTGCTAGTGTGCGACGTAGTAATGGACTGGCCTAAGCAGAATTCGACATCTCCGACTACTCTCTGGTCCTACCACGTGATGAGGCAGGGGTCTAAATCTCCATTCCTTCCGAAACCTTGTTGTGCGTTCTGTATCTGAACATGTTTGGACAAATTGGGACCAATTCTGCCATGATTCTACTGCGACGGCGGCAATCGGGTCATCACTGCAACAGCCGGGCAGTCGGCGTCATCGTTCGTCCCTCTGGTGCCATTTTCGAGGGCGGGGCTTCGAGGCGAAGGCCAGGGTTTCCGTCGGCCCGCCCCTGCCGCGCCTCCCTGCCCCGCACTGCCCGCCCGGCTCGAGCTAGGCGGCCATCCACAGCCTCGTCGTCATCATCATGTCTTCTGTGGCACGAATTACGATTCTATCAGCGTTATATCTGCTTAGATCCGCTCTAACACTCACTTGTCCCATTCCTTCGGCCGGAGGTTCGCTTATTTCGTTGCTCAACTTTAACATTCATAAGAGTTGTGACCTTGTCGAAAGTATTACTCTATTTTTTCTTACAAAATGATTTCCAGCAGTGATATTTCGCATAACTACGCAGTGTTTAATGTTTACACGTCTATAAAACATCGCTGCAGTCACCTGAAATGATGATTTTCTAGTTCGCTGGTTTTGTTCTGGATCCAAAACGACACTAAAGTTTTTCTCCAGCGAAGTCAATTTGCTTACTGAAATCTTACCTAATAACGATGATATGGAAGACCCTTCAAAATTCTGAAGGGACTGAACATTCAGTTCATTGTCACATTTTCATTGCAGCACAGTTGACGGTTAACATTGGTTTAGGTCTGCCGCTGCGAAACAAAACCTGTCCAGACTTCAAGGCCGACCCGTCATTCGTCTACTGTTGCACGTCTAAACTACCGCCCACCAGTGGCATTTACAGGGAAAAGCACGGGATTTTTTGCTGCTCGTTAGCTGATTTCGAGAAGGAACGGCAGGAGATCGCCGACGAGGAGTTCCACAATTTCATCAAACAGTGAGTGGCCTGGTTTTTCCCATGTTTTTAATGGTAGAACACACACCTTGTGCTTAAGTAGCAGAACTAGCCAAAATTTGCTTCACTTTTTGTATCCACTAAACAAGTTTTAAAAATTACCTTGCACAAGTGGACATTTATATATTTAGCTGCTATGCGTTTTAAATTTTGTTTGTACTGTTTATGTATGTTTTCTGTGTATGGAAGTATATTCGTTTGCTTACTCCTCATGTTGGTTTCCGTCGTGTGTCGTTTCCATCACAGCACCGGCAGTTGGTGCGACTGGAGAGGCTTGTGGTCATGTATTTTAATTAAGAACCAGCTCTTCCACTGTTGAAGAGTCTTTTGCCGTTGGAGTGCCTGTTATGTGAGGCAGAGACAATTTGCATGGTAATTTGGTCAGTAGCAAGGAGACGAGGCTTTCTACTGCTGTTGCGGCTTCTTTTCGAATAATGGAGCTACAGCAGAAGCAGTGCACGGCTCATGAACACAGAGACTCAGACCATGGGACCCCTCGACAAAGTTAACAGCGCGAAAGTTCATTTGATGGCTCACCTTATGTCTATTTAGTCCTACTTGGTGATTTTAATCTCTTTCGCTCGATGTGTAGAAATATTTTGTTAGAATTGAAAGCACCGATATTGTTTTCAAAGTTTTTGTTGGATTAATGATGAGAAAACTCACCTCATGATGCCTACACTTCTTTGTCTTTAACCTCTTCATTTCTTTTAGTCTTGTCTTTCCTTTATATTTTTCTGTTGATCTCATTCTTTTAGTTTACATATTTATTGGAATTATTAGGAATAGCAGGGTTTGGTATTCGCAAAGAAGAGTACACTCTGCTTTTCCTGCTTTTCATTATTCGCAGTTGTTTTGCCTGACTTTTTCCTCTTTTACTAGTCATAGAAAAATGGACGAAGTTTAAATAAGGTAGATTATAAAGGATTGAATCTAATTTGGAGTAGCTATCGTGTTATGAGGAATGTCCAAGCCGAAATGCTCAGCTTCTGGTTGTTGCTTACTGATACCACTGCAGCGCATCCCACACTGATGAACGCCGAGCATTTCCTGACCATGTGCTCCCGAGGTGAATCCCGAGCAGATTTTGAGCTTGTGGTCCTGAGGTGAATAATGGGCCACTTTTGACCATGCGGTCCCAAGGTGAATCCCATGCATCTGCTGACCCTGCGGCCTTGAGGTGAATCCCGAACAGCTCCCGCGCACCACCCGGCCACATTGCGCCCCTAACACTTCCCTATCAGCTTAGGTTCAAATCGATCTCTGCTGGCGGGCCAAATGAGCAACGGGCTCCGGCGCTGCGTTTAGCGATTGTTCGCCTCATCTTAGTTGCTGAATCACGCCAGGTCTTAGTCCGCTTCTCTGTTTCATCCGCCGTCGATTGAATTAAGAGTATCACTGTCAGGACTGCGTGAACGATGCGCACAACTTCCAACTTTACGTACGGTGCAGCCATTAAATGTTTATTTCTTAATCATTCTCTTTAATTGTCTCCTTGCTTTCTGGTTTAAAATCGCAAAATCAAAAGAAGGACATCGTTTTACACCATTAACTGTCATTACAGACTTTACTATATGCCATCAAATTTTTTAAATGGGCACTCGTTGGGTTACACCTGATGAGGTGAAGAAATTCTCAACCAGTGAAAGAACTCATCTATCATCCAGATAATTTCATTGAAAACTCATACGAAAAGAGGATTTATCAACACGATTGCGTAGGTGCTGTTGCGAGCGCTGATTTGCCCAGCTGTTCTGTTATTCATGCACCCAGGGAGAGGTAAAAGATGCCTCGATGGAAAAGCGCTTATTACTTTTCGACACTAGGCTGTAATTTTTAATTCAGACAGCCTTACTTGATGATCTGTGCGCTAACAATTGGAACAATCAAAATATTAAATTTACTGCCTATTTTTTTAAAATTATGAACTATTAAGAAGCTCTCAAGCATGTATGTCAGTGGTAGTTTGAACCATCGGTGAAGACCTTGTGTATTGTGTTGGTCAGCCTTGCTTAGTCTATCCGTGTTCTTCTCATTTTGCTTCACTAGATTTTGTAGTGTAGCAGCCTATATTCACCCGGCCAACTCTCATTTGCTTAGCTGCGATTCGTTTTCTTGTCGGCCACCAATCCATAATATTTGTCATCTCATCGTTTAGACGCATTGGAGGTTTCAAAACACATCTAATTGCCACCATGAACATGAGTAATTCGCCATTAAGGCTTAGTCGAGCTCTCGGCTATGCTGCTTCGATATGCTGAAATATTCGGCGATTACTACTACTCGAGCGACAGGACCCACTTCCTGTTGTTGGGCACCCTCACTCTTCTCTCTTATCCCGATTTCTTACCTGTTTGAGACAAACAAACTCGGACGAGGACGCACTAGAAAATTCGGGCAATAGCTTGGCGTATTGTTCCAAAGAGCTTCTTTATAACTGGAGGAAAACATGTGTTCAGCAAAATTTAAGTGAAAATAAAACTAAGATTTGCAACACTTGTCCGTTGTTCAAATAGCTATGAATCTCAAAGGTCTTTCTTGAGCTGGTTAATTTAAGCGTGGTGAGCTGTTCTTGTTGTTTTTTAGGCTTGTGTAATAATCTCTCGTTATTTTGATATTTTTTCGCAGTTTTTCTTGATGAGAAAACGTGAGGTTGGCATAACAACACTTATCAGTACACATTAGCTGATCTTTCGGGGGTTTCCCCTTCTTCAGAGTCTGGATAGTTCAGACTGACATGCAGTCTACTCGGTCAAACACTTTCCTAACCTCAGCAAGCACAACTTAAAAGAGAAATTTGCATTTGTATAATAAACAACTTCTTTTAAACACCAATTTTACTCGTTGTAAGCCTTTGAGTTATTTCGTGGAGACCAACCGCACCAAGTTAGATGGGAGCGGAATGTGCTTGGCTCAGGTTAGAAAATCAACCTGAGGTAAAGCGCTAGGTCACGAGTGACCACACAACGCTCCTCGCGGTTCATTTTTGGATTTTTGGAACGAAGAATCCCTGAAATTGGTGCGTCAAATAGCCATTTCTAATGGCTAAGAAACCGTAGCTTCTTGGGTTAGGTGTGAAAGCCCACTCCCCCCCAAACGATAATTCTGGTGATAATAAGTTCCCGTTTATACGGCTCTTCATTTTCAGCGAAATAAATACTGCCATAAAACGTTGCTTAGGAAGGATCGGTCTAGAGAATTCGCTAGCAGTGATTGAAATACCACTGGACACTTTAAAACGCCCGTTAGTTCGCAACCGTTTATATGACCGCCACTGCACAACGCAAAACTGCATAATTTGCCCTAACGGTAGAAACGGTGATTGAATGACTATAGGCACGCTTTACCTGATCGCTTGTGAAGCGTGTGATGCCGAATACGTTGGCGAAACGGGTGGACCATTATGCGACTGCACCAAAGAACACCTAGTCAGTAAGCTTAAAGTAACGCCAAGGAGTCCACTAGGCGTGCATAGGACAAGAGGCAAGGAGGAAGATTTTGAAGTTGAGGTTACTATTCTCGCACGGGAATCGAACACATCAGCGCGTAAAACTCTTGAAGCGTCTCGGATAACTTCCAAACACGCAAAAGAATCCCATAAGAGGTAGTGTCTTGTGGTGACGCTTGACCTCGCGCCATATCTCAGGCTGATTCTTTGACCTGAGCCAGGCACATTCCTCGCCCATGTTATACTTGGTCAACTGAAACACTTACAAGGAACAAAACGATGAGTATTTAAAAGGAGCTGTTTATAATGCCAATGAAAAATTTACGTATTAAGTTTTGCCCGCTGAGGTTATGAGAGTGTTCGGCTGAGTAGGTTGGGTGTTAATCTGGCCTTTCCAGGTCCTGAAGAAGGGGAAACCGCTGGAACGTCAGTCGTTGTATACTAACAAATGCTGTTATATCAACCTCGCGTTTGCTCATCAAGAAAAACTGTGAATTATTGACCAGTGTTATCACCTCGTATTTTTAGCGATACAGAACTGTGATCTCAGGCTTGGAGAAATAGAGAGACTCCATGTACAAATTTCATAACACTCTTTATAAAACGAGTTTTTAAGGAGTTTTTTCTGAAAGGCGTAATGAGGTATCCGTACTTGATCGATTTCGACAGCGACGCCATCACCGTTATGACAACGAGCTGCTCGCAAGCGACTCTCCAATGGTTCGCTAGCGATTTGCTAAGCAGTATGATAAATGACTGCAAGGTGACACGCGGCGGCGTCCTTCACTCATAACCGACTTTTTAGGCGTCAATTATCGGCGATGTGAATGATATATAACTCATAAATGGCCAGCTATCAACCTTCCAACTTTAGACAAACATACCCTAGCTTGTAATTAACATTACTCATTATTATTATTTATTTCACTTGACCAGTCCCCACAACATACAGTGCGGCGAAGATCTTCGAACTTTTGCGTGGGTATTCGTCTTCTGCTTGAGGATTTTTGTCTTCTTCATCAATGTCATTAAATTCTGATCTAGTCAGGCCTTCCAGAATTCCTGGGATAGCCAGTCTAGGGCGTTTCTGCGTGGACTGGAGGAAGTGAGCTGATGACAAAAAAGTCTGGCACCAATTTTCCGACCTTGATGGGATTAGAGGTTTGGTGAACCTGGGGTGTAATCGAGCTAGTACCATACTCGTGATGAACGTCACCATTAACACTACACTGCTTTCCTCCTAATAAACTTTATTATATGAAATAAATGTCTAACATATATAAAGCTCTGTCAACAAAAAACTAGTTTTATATTTTACAGCGATAACGTTCTCGCCTTTTTGTCTATTTTTTCTTTCGGCGAGGCTCATATTTCGAGCGGCAAAGTGATTGAACAAACGGGCTTCGTTCAGCACGATGACATATCCCAATGCCTTTTTGCTGTTTGTGGATGCAGCTGTTGTGTTAAAAAAGCTTTTGAAAATTAACTTCGTTTTCTCTTTCTCTAAAACTCGAATTTTAAGCAGTAAAGAAAATGAATAGGGACGCGTGTGACGCAGTGCTTGGAGGCGCTCTACAATAAATATGAGATCGATTCTTGCGCTCCTGTCCTACCAAACCTTCCATCCTTCCGGGCTCGGCAATTTGGTACCAGACTTATCTGGGAGGATAGCAGCACCGGCTCGATAAAGGTCAAATATGAATTCAATCATCTCCAAATGATGCCTAATGAAGTCGAGTAAATGGAGCATCCCTAAGGAATTGATCAACGCTGGGATCTTTATCTTTTATTCTTTAAGAGAAATGAAATAAATACTTTGGAAAGGTGATACACATAGGTGTACCGATGGTGTACTTTTCCATAAATTCTATACAAATTCCTTGGATTAGATCTTAGCTCCTAGATTTTCACGAACTGTGGATGTCGTAAAATTATTGGCGATTATTGAGTGATCAGCATCGTCTCAAATGTATTAATAAGTCCTAAAGTTAGTCCTCTCTTTAATTAGTACTGGAAGGAGCACTTTGGAATAGAAACATTTTCATTTGCAGAAATGTTCGCTGTTACATTGAATGTCATAGGCTTCATGATGGGATCTGCACGGATGCTCTTTAATTTTGACCAATGGGAGGTCTATGATTTTCCCTGAAATATACGGTTTTATCCCTAACTGGTCTCTGTTAGTACTCGAATCTTCGACATAGCCCCTACAGTCAGTGTATTTCCAACGGAAACGTTGACCTTTACTGCGTCCGCGAACGACGTGTTGATTTTCACCAGCGGGTGTGGAACCCGACCCTTGCTGTTGCCGCCCTTCGTCATCAGTTGTGGCATGTTGGGTTTCCCTCGTGGTCGTGTATGAAGTTGTTTGTTCAGCGCTTTGTTTAGAGAACTGTTGTGTGTATGTCAGCGCTACATGAATCCGTATTGATTCCTTTTTTCTCTTCTTGCGCCATATTCAATTTTTATACTCGCAAAACTTCAATATACTGATACCCCTGCTTTTATTTACTCAGTTATTTACTCAAATATATCCCAGGTATTTATGTAATTTGAAATTTGGGAATGTAATATAACACAATGTTGCTGAGATATTTGCAAATCTCCGGACCGCTGGTGTCTGCGGTGTAGACCGAACACGTTATTATCCTTTCTGGGAGCTAGCGCGTTCACCACCACACCATGCGAGCCCTTCGTTTGGTCTTCCTCTTTCGAGAATGTAACGTTGACCTAGTATATATGACACTTCGTGTCGTACATTAGATAATCTT